TACATAGTATAAAACAAAGTCGCTTTCCCGCTGTCTGTCCCTATGTATGCTTAAATCTTTAAAACTACGCAACGGATTTTGATGCGGTTTTTTTTAATACATAGAGTGATTCAAGAGGAAGGTTTATATGTATAATACATGCATAATATAGTAGGGAAACACTGATAATTTTAGAGGTTTCTAATGTGATGTCGTAAATAAACACGTTTTTTGTGCTTACATTGTAAACGCTGGCTGAACCCTACGAGATAGATCAAAATAATATACTACAGTATTGTACACATTAAAAAGGTCTACAAAAAAGTCCGGGATTGTATATGTCTATCTCTTAGGGATAACCCACAATAACCATTTTTTATCCTTTACTTTTTATGAGAAATAATGGCTTATTTACAAAATGATTTTAAGCAATACAGCATTAATCATTATCCAATTAAGTACTTTTAAATACATTGTGCATTTAATATAGATTAATACGACCCTTCACAACATGTAATTTAAATGAATATTTTGGAAGATATTAAAGATTTGCGGCGCTACCGGCGAGGGCCCGGTTTGTATTATCTGATGACCAAAAAAAGCTGTGAATGTTGTATATAAAGACATTCTGTAGTATATTTTGTATCAGCATTGCACCCGTGCGAAGCTGGGGCGGGTCGCTAGTAATTAATATAATATCATTATTTATTTATTTCGATTAAAAACTGCAGCGGTTGATTTTATTCAAGATAAAGTTCAAGTTATGATCACTTACTCGGACGTATTGTACTGCTGGTTTCACGTACTGTTTTGCACTAATCTTTTGGTTTAAATATTTAGTGGATGCGTAATTTATTATGGCTGTTATCGTTTCTTCAAGCCTTTCGGGATCAAAAAGCGCGGCTTTGGGGAATTGCTGATTTTTAAGAAAATTGTTAAGGACAAATTCAATCGTTTTAACAAACCTGAAACAATAGCGATAAAAAATAACAATATAAATATATAATGCAATGTTATGTGTTATCTAAATAAAGGTTTACCGTGTTTGAGTTTCTGGATTAGTAAAATACGCTACCAAGGTAGCAATTCTTTTGGTTATCGTTTCAATCCAGTGTCGCCTAAAGGAATGATTTTGTAATAGTTCCATAGTCCTAGCCGTACTGAACTGTCCATTTTTGTCGAGAAAGGCAGTGGCAACTTTTGGGCCCAAAGTCATTTTGGCCAGTTTCTTACCAGTGTCGGAGTTTATGAAGGTAGTGATGAAATTATAAACCTTTTCTAATAATGCTGGGATAAACCAGTTCTTATTACCGTTCTCTCCCCCTTGATCCTCAATATTCATGAGCGACATAGCGGATGTGATTAAGTTGAGGATATTGTTGCTTCCGTCTTTTCCTCCGCCTTGATTCATAAATTTCCCTAGCATCGATAGTATCGACAGCATATCGATTCCCTTGTTTTCCTTTTTCGATCCACCACTTAGAAAACTTTGAGCTAACGTCCCTAATAGTTCTGCATTTAAATTTATTCCCAATTTCTTTTCGGAGTTTTCATCTTTGCCTTTAGATTCCAAGCTTGACTTGATTGCATTTCCGATAACGTTTCCCAAGATCGATGATGTATCGACCCCTTGACCTTCTTTCTGGTTTATTATCGATCCCAATCCTTGTAAAATCTGCTGGGCTGCTGCTTCTTTGTTGATCGAACCTAGCAAGGCGTCTCCAGAATGGGTAATTTTTATATTAAGAAGCTATATGTACAACTTACAAAATTACAGATACCTGGTACATTTAAAAAAATGATAACAATAAATTTTCTTATTTTCTATTATCGTTTAATTACAACTATAATTCGTTATGTACATATTCTGTTGTTACTTTTTCTTCTTCTACGTGAAAGTTGTTACAGATGGGCTGGTAATACGTCTGTAAAGAGAGATATGAATAAATGTTGTATTCCTTATGCATATACATAACACAATAACAGTTGGTCAAATCTATAAATAGTGGATCGCGATTTCGGTTTTTTTAACTCACATCAGCACGCTGAAGGTACTTCTGACAAAACAGACCAAAACTACAGTAAATCACAGATAATCACGAGGAGGATGTAGGATACTGCCAGTAGACATTTCCTTTACTTACAGATTTGACGTTATTTAATAAGGTCCTTTTTAAACATTAAAAATCTTAAATAAATGGTACCTTTCTTAAAAAAATGATGTATTCTTTACCTTACAGTTGTGTTTGTCTTCCGTTATAATATCATAAATAGTCCAAAACGAGGTACCCGAATGCTTGGTAACAAACCAGCTTACCATAAGACTCGTTGCCCTACTTAATCCTTTTTTTAACCCCGGAAGAGTGATAGGGTCGTTCGGATTCTCTTGGTTGATAAGACAAAATATGTATCTACAGATCAATTTTAAAAATTACTTCACATGAATGAAAGAACGTAATTATTGTAAAGCCTTACTTGTCACATATTGCATTTGTTTTTACAAACTGGAACGCCCTGTACACTCGGACAACAGGTTCTATAATTTCCAAATTAATTGTGTCCGCTAATTTATCGGAAAATTCTTTGGAGTCAATTCCTGAGCCAAACAATCCTCTCTTTTGGCCTATCCTCACTAGATCCTAAAAAAATTGTATTCAAAAGACGTGGACATCAATAATTTTGTTTATCACTACATAGTATAAAACAAAGTCGCTTCCCGCTGTCTGTCCCTATGTATGCTTAGATCTTTAAAACTACCCAACGGATTTTGATGCGGTTTTTTTTAAAAGATAGAGTGATTCAAGAGGAAGGTTTATATGCATAACACATGCATAATATAGTAGGGAAACACTGAAAATTTTAGAGGTTTCTAATGTGATGTCGTAAATAAACACATTTTTTGCGCTTACATTGCAAACGCTGGCTGAACCCTACGAGACAGATCAAAATAATGTACTACAATATTGTACATCTTAAAAGGGTCTACAAAAAAGTCCGCGATGGTATATGTCTATCTCTTAGGGATAACCCACAATAACCATTTTTATCCTTTACGTTTTATGATTAACAATGACTTATTTACGAAGCGATTGTAAGCAATACAGCATTAATTCTTATCCAATTAAGTACCTTAAATACCTTGTGCATTCAATATAGATCAATATGGCCCTTTACAACATGTAATTTAAATGAATATTTTCGAAGATATTACAGATTTAAAATCAGGGACATAGTGATTGCGGCGGTACCGGCTGGGAGGCTGGTTTGTATTGTCTGTGAATGTTGTATATGTTAGGTCCGAAGACCGAAAACGCTCAGTGGCCGGAAAAAACGGCCACATCGCGTTCTGGCTGCTTTCGAACGTACACAACGCGTTTTGGCTGTTTTTAAACGCTCGCAAAGCGTTCTGGTAACTGTTAAACAGCCGGAACGCGTTTTGTCAATTGTTGAACGCTCACAACGCGTTCTTAATGTTCGACTTGTATTATTTGCCGCTTTCTACCTGCGTACAATGAGATTTACATTGTACTTATAAAACAAATGAATTTCAATCCATTTTTCAGTTTTTAGGAAACAATTCAATTATTGACAACTATAATTGGATACCAAAGATGGGTTCGGTTTTTCTCGCCGAATCATTTCAACAATATTAAATTTCTTATAATTGTTTTTCAGTTCTAGGAAGAAAGTTACACTGAACACTTA